ATCTAAAACGTTGTCTGTATAAACCATGAAAATAAATAATATTCCTCGTCATTTATGACGAGTAGCAACAATCATTCAGGTCTAATCCTAACCCACTACTAAGCACTAAAGAGTAAACCCTGATCTTGGTGACATGCGACGATTTCCTATTCCCCATTATCAGGTTCATCTTCCCATGCTCCACATCCTTACTTTTTCTTAGCCCCTGTAAATCAGAACAAATGTGTAAACCATATCTTGTATCAAGGTCCCAAGAACTAGTGTGTGATGAGTTTTTAGACAGAATAGTATAAATACATGCGAATGTGGTCTTTATCTTCCCATACTTGATGTCCTGCAAGTATTTCGGGCAGCTTCGTTTCAATGCCCCTTTTCGTGACAGTAGAATCATACTGCTTCTTTTGGATCAGATGAGGGAGGGGCAGAACCAGTTTTACCTTTGGATCCACATGAAGAAGATTTGTCATGAGACTTTCCCTTGTGGTGCTTAGAGGGAGCATTCCTCTTTTTCCCTTTCGCATGTCCAATTGCCAGGACTAGGGCAACAGTAGTATGAGTGGACTCGACACGTTTGCCTTTCAATCCACTTTCAGCAGTTCTCAACAGACCTTGAAGTTTGCTTAAGGTAACCTCCTCCTTGTTCTTATGATAAGTCATGCTGAACTGATCATAACAAATAGGTAAAGAGTGTAGGGTTATATCAATGGCCAGCTCTTCGTGAAAGGAGACATTCAACTTGAGCAAACGTTCCACACAACTTTGCATTCTTTGCAAGTGGCTCGTGATGGACTCTCCATCCTTCATCTTGGTTGTTATTAGTGAGGCGAAAATCTCATATACCTTTCTTGACGCGCACTTTGATGGTACTTTTCCATCAAGTCCTGGCACATCTCGTAAGGCCAGTAGTCTTCATAGAACTGCTACAGCTCAGGAGTCATAGTGGCCACCATAATACACGACACCTTTGTCGCGTCCTTTTCGTGAGCCCTACACTCAGCCACTTGTTCAGGAGTAGCTTGGGATTCATCAATCTCTTTGAGTTCTTTGTTGAGGATGTATTCTTTCTCCACGTAGCGCAAGGCCATTCGACTGTTGTGAATCCAATCATTGAAATTGGATCCATCGAAAGTGACCCTAGCAAAAATGTTCATAAGAGAAACGGAGCTTCAGGAGTTGGAGTTAGATCCAGAAACGTTGTTTGAAGCATACATCTGCAAAAGAAGAACAAGTTTTGATTAGAGAGGAATTCCTTAATATATCACCTTAAATGAAATATTAAGGCTAGGACCCAACAAAATAATTCACAATTCAGAAAAGGGATGTCGTAATGTAATTGTAAGTTTTTTGATGGTAAGTAAATGACGATTTACAAATTTCACCATCAAAAAACAAAATTTAAATGAATTAGGTTTTATTATATGAAATTCCTAGATCTTTGAGATTCATTAAACTTTTCAATGGCATGTTTAATCTATATTATGCCCTTCAAGTTTGTGACTGGGATACTGATGATCACAAACAAGGAGTGAATAACCATGCAAATATGCTTGACACTGTCGATGTAAATTACAAACTAATCAATGTGTCGGTTAACCACACACGCTCCATTGATCTATGATAATTTTCGAGCTACCCTTTGCCATCCTTGTTATTCCAAGTTAGTGTGCCGGTTAACCACACACGCTCCACCAACGACTTGACAAGGTGCAAAGTGCAATTTCATGGACTAACATTATTTTCACATTTTTCCTAAAGTAAGTAAGATCGAGAATTTATAAAATACATTTAGTTACTTAATATTTATCATTATACTTATTAATGAGAATTTAATGCCCTATCCTACCCGTTCAGCTAACGACCCTCCACTAGTCAAGAGTGCGGTGGGTAAGAGTGAACACCCAATGGTGGTCATTTTACAGCCCGCTTCCTTAAACACCCATTATAGACCAGCTGTGTGAATGAGGCCTACTAACGGTAAGACTGACTCATCTTATACATATATATAAATTAAACTTTTAATATATAATAGTATAAGGGTGTATTTTACACTTTTAAAATACTAGGGTTTTAGAATTTAATATTTCAAAATTAAACTTTTAATTAAATTTTAAATTCCAAAATTTGAGGGTCAATTTTTGAAACTTTTCAAAAACTTCTAGATCGAATTTTAAATAATTAAATTAATCATATAATTATGTCATTATCTTAAAATTTGATCTAATCCACCTTATTTGCTAAGGAAATCAGATTACTATCAAATTAAGTACATACCAATTATAGTTATGGGATTAGACACCTAATCCAACAAATTTGTTACAGGGATGTAACATTCGATTTAAGGTATGTTCGTATTTTGCCCTTTAAGTTTAATTTTTTTTTTTTGCAAAAATAGTCCCTCGTATGTTGGACGTATGTTTGAAACGCTTAACGTACATGCGTGCATGGATTCAGGGAACTTAACCACGTACGCTGGGCGTACGTGGCGTACGCGGTGCGTACTCCTGTAAGGGTCAATCCCTAATTTTTAGGGTTTGCACCCTATTTAATCATCATTATGGCATTTGGACACTCGCCCTCATCTGCCTCCACCGTTCATTACATCTAATTGAAATCCTAGTTCACCCTTTGAGCATTTTGAGCATTAGAAGTTGTTTTGTGGCATTTTGGTGTGTATTCAAGAAGGAGAAACTTGGTGACCAAGCATTGTTGAGGTTGACCTTCTAGATCCAAAAATCTTCTTCCATTTTGGGAGCTTTAGCAGGTATAAAGCTCTTATCTTGATGATTCATTTTGATAGGTTGAGTTAGATGCTTGTTTATGAGTTTTGTTTGGTCTCATTGGTTCTCATTGTGGGTTTGGGCAACTCCAGGAGTTAAAGTTGTTAGATTTTGGTCCCTTTGTTGTTTTAGATGCATAAAAATGACATCTTGATAGTTGTTATGGGTCCATGCAAGAGCTTCATTCCTTTTTACGAGTATTGTTGGACAAAAATGGATGTTGGGTTCCATTAAGTCATGCTAAGGTTTAAAGTTGTCAACTTTATTTATTAGAACTCTAAAATGGATGAGATCTGGAAGTTAGACCCCTTGGATGAATGGATTAAGCACTAAATGGCTTAAGGTGGTATGCAGCCCAGTACGATGGGCGTACCGAATGGTTCGCTGCGCGTACTTGTGATCGGTCGTGTACGTCGTGCGTACAACGCGTATGACGAACTATAAATATTTAATCAATTATTTCATAAAACAATTCACGGTTTGACGATTCTATACAGTTTAATCAAATTTTCATAAGAATCTAAATAATATAATGGAATCGTGTTCTAAACATACCTTGTATTGGTGAACAACATAACTTTACAAATTTTAAGATCCACATCAAAGTCATATATATTATCATTTTTTGTTGATTATCGACCAAACAATAAATTTGATAGGTAAAGATCACCAATTTCATATCTATGAAATCGGAGTTTTTTTGGGACAAGAATTTTTTTGTTAATTATCCACCAAACAATAAATTTGATAGCAAGCAAGTGTCTACTAGATGATTAGCCTCATTTTTACCATGCGCACCGGTGTTACTAAGACTCGTCCAAATTGAAACATGTAAATTTAGTTCTCTCTTAGGGCTGAACTAAAGTTAAAATTTACGTTGTATGTCATATCCTTAGGTTAGAATTGAAATAAATTCTCTTCATTTTTAGTATTTGGTTTAAAAATCTTCAATTTATAAGTTTTCGTTATTTTACAAAAAGTTAAAGTTAGAAACAAATAGAATGCCTAATATGTTGTTCATTGGTTCTCTGTTGACCTCTGTCACATACTCACATTTATATTCGGATATTCCTTCAAGTTTATAATTAAGGAGTTCTGAAACATCACCACACGCCACAAACTAAGAAAGGCACGTGAGAATATGGGATCTTAGTAATGTAATAGAGGTGTGCATGGGAACAAAACCATAGCTAGAACACCACTTCGTGGATTCTCATCGTCAGTCCACGTAACCCCTTCTGGTAAACATGGTGCGTAGAGTTTTGGGAATCTCTAGAATATGCAAAGTTGATAGAGGCCCATACTTTCCATTCCATGCTCGTTAGTTTTTCTCATTGAAAACAATCAGGTTCTTGTTTCTATTTGAGGTCTGAAAAGTGCTTCATTCAATCTTAATTAGCTCTTGTTGGAGAAACAACCCAGAAAACAATAAACATGCAGATAGTATTTCTGTATACACATACATACGAAGAAGAAGAAGATGGGTTCTTGAACACAAAAGTAATATTTTATTATAAACTCAAGAACAACGTTTACATATTACATTCACACATATATATACATAACAAATCGGCTGAGACACTGAACCAACCTAAGTCTAGATTACATTTCAACAGCTCTCACATGGATATCCAAATTTTGCATTTTCCCAAGATGCATTAAACTGTCTCATCTCACAGACATCATGCAAGTGGCTCCTGATTCAAACCAAAGAAATTGTGGGTCGCCACGTATCACCGAGAAATTGAAAGGGGATAAAAACCGAGAGATAGCAATGGCTCCACGTCTGTTGTCCCACATTTTGATGCACGTAAAGTATTTTCCAATCAAGTCCATGATACGGGATCGAGTGCTTTCATCCAATCATTATGGGGCTTTTAGCTTCGTATAAATTCCAAAGAGTAAGGCTGCTAGTTGGTATCACAGAAAATTGTATTTCAACAAAGACTACGACCAAATAATAAAATGGGGTTTTCTCCAAAACCAACATCCAGGAAAGATTTCCGATCCATTACTTTACCATGCAGATCACATCCAAGTACCTATAGAATCGAAAAAGTGTTGAATAAAGTCAAAACATAGGAGTCCACATCATCGTTATTAAATCCATCGGCAGAAATCATTTGCAGCTGTGTGTTTTAACTGACAGAGTTGTATGAATGTTTGGATGAACTTATCAAAACATGTCCTTCAAAAACTTCGATAGATTCCAGCAATAAGAACATGAGATGGACGGATGAGTTACTTGATGTATCTGTTAGTTTCTTGGATATTTTCAGCAATATATCCGATCTCATGTTGCAGACAAAACCACATGTGAGGGATCTTGGGTGTGATCTATGGAGAAATGGTGGTCCCCGCATCAACATAATCATTGAAAATAACACTGCCTTCAGAAAGAAACTGAGAAGAGACATTAGAACGTCGGTAGCAAGTCTGAATCGATTGGATGACATGATTGGCCACTTTACCTTGGTAGATCTCGAAAACAAACATCTCATATCGGTGATCCGGGTGTTCAGAGATGTTAAAGCATTCATGGCTGTTGTTCTGCAATTATTGTTTAAATTCTTGGCTACTCCACTTTTGAAGACAAGATCGAGAAGTAGATGGAGAGCAGTCTCAAGATATATATCCAAAAGTAAAGTGGTACCAGAAGAAAAAGCTGACACTAATATAAATGAGTTTCAACACCTTGATGCTTCACTATTCAGATACGGGACAAGTAACAAACTGGAATTCATCCAACTCGTACGAAAGAAACTAGAGGAATTTGAGGCTACTGTCGACGACATCAACTCTCACATGGAATCAATGTCGAGGCGCCTGATTACAACCAGAATCTCTGTTCTTGTCTTCATCTCTTTCTACTAG